ATTTCTCTCTCTCTCTCTCTCTCTCTCTCTCTCTCTCTCTCTCTTTTTTCCTTTCTCCAAACTCTGCCTCGACGCGTCGAACGTCTTGCCCACTCGCGTCGAAAAATGGAAATAAAAATGTTTACGACAAGTGGATAACCTCTTTTAACATCTTTCTTTAATTGCCTTCGATTAATTATCGAATCGCGTAACTCTCTTCTTCGAATTTTTCTTTCGTATTTCTATAGCTGGTACGTAACGTTGCGTAACGAGAGAATAAAATAAAAGAGCGAATAAAAAGAAACAAAAAATATATTTTCAGTCGCAAGTTTTAACACTAGTAGTCTTATGGTATTTGTCTTATATAATATTTGCAAAAAATGTAAAACGAGCGAGAGAGAATAGAGCAAGAGAGAAAGGTCTGACTAAACAATGATACGTTCTACTGCGGCTGAGTCGATGCTACGATACCGAATTGTCTCGTTTCAAGGGCTCGATCGTGGCGAGATAACGCGAGAATTGTGTTTACAATTTACACCGACAGGTTCGCGCACATCTTGACATCAGAGATACGATCGTGGTTGACGAGTGACAGAAGCTTCGAGACGGTGAAACGTGTTTGGCTCGTGTATTCCGTTTCCTACGTAAAATTGTGGTGGATGAACGTTTTAAGGTGTGTTTCTTAGTTTCTGTCGTAAACTCGAATATACGGGATCGAAAGAAAAAAAAAATGAGACGATACGGTTCAAACACGGTGGTTATAGAAATGCTTAATTAGCGACGATACGACCAAGCATTGCTCGTTAAAAGTTACGTAAAATGAATTCTCTCGTAGCTTTCGAACTTGTATTATTTCGTTCGAATTGATTAATCATCGATCCATCGATCCTCTCTTACACATTCTTTACGTAATCAGCTCATCCAAATTTGCCTTCGTTCACGTTTAAAATAGGCGAATAGAAGAAAATAAACGTGAAAAAAAAATCATTTATTTTTATATTTATTATATATACGCTTTGCTTTGCAGTTAACCTCTCTTCCGTTCCTGTTCAACAAGCATATAAAAGAAAATAGAAGAGAAATTCAATTATCGATGATTGATGTTATTTAAGACGATCAAATTTATCAATCTTTAATTAAATTTCTAGCGATCTTGATCAATTACGTTTTACGGGTAAATTTGAACATGACTCGTCGATTGCTCGTTCGCGGTATCGAAATGATATTTTGATGACGCGATTTTTTATTAAATTACGTAAAATTTCAAGGAAATTTCCTGCGCTTCCACGTAAATTTCCTTCTTTTACGAGGTGTTAATGCAAATTCTATTTTTCGTTTTTTTTTTTTTTATTTGATCTCGTGGTCCAACAGAAACGTTACGATCCAATGCTTGGCCATCGCTTGAGAATCTCAAAGGGGAGATAAAGATTCACGATCGTGACCAATGTTTTTATACACGAATCCATACGAAAGAATTCCCAATCGGGTTGCAACTTTCCAACATAGCGATTATTTCACGAAATATCAGCAAGCGGAATAAAAAGTTAAGAGGAACACGTTTGGAAGAGAGAGATCCGTCGGTGAATGGTGGCCCGCGGCGTTTTATCGCGTTTTATCGTCATCGTTGTTACGATCACGTTCCCTTCAAAGTTGATGGCGTATTTCTAACCTTATCGGTCACCGATTATCGATCGTATGCCCTTTCATCACCCCATAATCGGGAAAAGGAAAAATCAAGTTTTATCCATTATTTATTCATTCGTTCATCGCGTTTCCTTCTCTTCAAATTCTCGCATCGTTTCCGTCTCGTATATTATCGTCAATTTTGATCGTCAAAGTTCAAGGGGCGAGAGAAAGAACACTTTTCAAACACTTTTTTCCTGATTTTCGATGGGACGAAGATCGCGAAGAAGAAACGCATAATGAAACACGGTCGAATGCTAGATACGTGAATGGAGGGGGAAGGGACGAATCTCGTGGCAAGAGAGCGGGGCATGCCGGGCCTCGCATATTTCGGGGGATGAGCATTCCTGCCTCTTGCCAACCGCCAATTTCTATCCCGGCCGCCGCATTGTCCAGCAATTCGTCCAGCAATTCTGTTCGCCCGTCAGAATGCACACGACCGAATCCGGACACGGTTCAAAAGTATCCTTCATCCCGCCTTACGCGAAATTGAAAATTATCACCGCGATCATATCAATAATAAAATTGTGTTAACAACTCGTCTCTTTCTTCCTCGTTGCGAGTTCGAGTCTCGTGGGTCCCGTCGATCCTCGACACCGATTCGAACGGATCCGATTTTTACAGGACGTTCATACAACGTGTGCAGTGGTGTTGTCCCATGGGAAGAGGGAGAGAAGGAGGAGGAAGTTGAGAGAAAAAAAGCTTTGATTCGAGAGCGTGGAAATATATAATATCGGTGGTGGACGAAACGCGTGATCGTGGAAAGAGAGTGACTCGTGAGAGGGGGGAGGGAGGATGTGGGTTTTCCACCCCCATCGTTTCCACCACCACAACGCCACCGACCCAGTCCCTGTCTCGGATATAAAGTGGTCGCGTGCTTGCAAGCTCAGTCACTCTGTCGCTGAAGCACCGATCCTCGCAAGCTCGCCCAAAAAACCATCGACCAATCAACACTCAACGAGCCAATCAACGACCGACAACCACCGAGTCGCGTCTCCATTTACCGAACGGCTACTCCTTCGAAACAGGTATGCACACATATTTCTTATATTCTCTGTCTCCCTCTTTCGCGATCCTTTCGAGTTTCGATTTTTCGGTTCCAAAGATAATGGACGATTAATTGTTGCGGCCCTGCGTAGATTGGATTTTCTCTCCCCTCCTTCAAAATTTTAAACTCACGATATAATCGCGGTTGAATCGTCTTTAATTTCCGCTCGAACAATCCCGATTCTCGCTCATTCACGTTTGAATACAATTTTATATAAATAAATGTAAATCGCTTAGACGAGGCAATGATGGGCAAACGATTCGTTCGATCGAGTTAAAAAGAGTGTTTGCTTGGGTAATAGATATATAAGTGTGTAGATATAGCATCCATTTCGAGGGAGAGGAAAACCTGTTGCCTAGGGAGCCGTGTAATTTACTCGTCATTGTCTTGCATTGTCTTTGAAGATATGTATATATATAAAGCAACCGCCTATATAATTATACCTTTCGTTTTGTGATACTGTTTCATTCATTTTACGGTCGTTAAATCGATCCAACTATTTTTCGTTTCGGTTGATTAATAAATAGGGATATTTTTGAAAAAAATTGAAGGGGGATTGGTGTGGTATATCACTTGAGGGAATTCCTTGCATGAATTATGGTTCTGTCGATGACAGGTAGAGTGGTTGTCCGTTATTCACCGCGGCAGAATCGAAGTGTCGACCGCGGACGAATAAAACCAACAATTTTGACATTGATCAAAATATTCCATTAACCGATCGATCCCGTCCACTCGGCATCAACGATATCCGTAAAACCGCACGCAACGTTGTCAACCTTCATCCGCCCAATTTGCTTCCCTAAAATACGCGTGCATCGTTATTCTATATATATATATATATATATCGTTAATTCGTTCCAGAGAAATTAATTTTTCAATCCGGCCGATACACGATAAATTTACTTTTCGAAAGTGAGAAATTTTCGGTGACCGAATACGAGAGATTACTCTCGCGTCACGTCAGAGATGATGTCCGTCCGCGCGAGCAATCATCGATAATCGGTTGAAAAAAGAATAACGCACGAGGCGAGGTATCGCATCCTGAATATTTCGAAAAATTCCACCAAGAAATTGACTCTTTCGAATCGAGCGATAAAATCGTGCTTTATTAAAATTCACCGGCTTTCATCTGATCGATTCCAGAAAGTAGAATCTCGCGTCTCGAATTGCCCGCTGTATCAATGGCCTTTCGAACGACGTTCGTCGTTTCAGTCGTTCGATTTTTCTTTCGAACGTAATCAACGCGGTACGAGTCGTCGCCGGATACTTTTAGAGCTTCCCAGCGAAGCGAACTGATACGAGCGATCGTTACTACGTATGCCATCACGCTATCTCGTGTTATTATCGAAAAAAAAACGCGTATCGTGTGCATCGTTGTTAACGTTGGAATAGATATATCCCTTGAATATCTACATACACATGTAATTTCGTGCGATCGAGAGACGAAAGCATTCACTTGGATATTTTCGTTCTTCTCGTGTCGCATCTTTTTTTTTTTTCCTTTCTTTCGATCTTTCATATTTTCAAAATCGACACGATAACATGAGTTTTTTTGTTAACGAGCGACAATCGTTCGAACAATTGAAACGGTTTAATTAATCCGGATTGGTTTGTTTTTTTTTTTTTTTGTTACGCAGGATCGAAATATGTCGTCGTTACGAATCGCCATGTTTCTGCTCGTCGTTCTTATGGTGTTGATCGACTGCTCGACGGCCATCCCGGCAGCCGACAAGGAACGACTGTTGAACGAGGTAGACGTAAGTAACGTGATCCTTCCCCCCCCCCTCCCCTCCCTCCCTTTTCCTCGTTTTTTGAGAACGCTTTTATTTTAATATAAAATAGCACGTAAATAAGGAAGAATATCGCTCGTAACGAGCGAGCGGCGGTAGCATTAGTCGAGAAAATTCCACGTGACCGTTACTAGTCGAGCGAATGACAAATGTGCCTCGTTACCCCTCTCACCCTGCCCTCGATTTTACTACGAACACAAGTGGCTACAAATAACTATTTCTTGAACTCGTTTCGAGAAGAAAAAGAAAAAAAGGTCTTTCTCTTCCTTCTTCTCTCTTTCCTTCGTATATACGTCGTTGTGTATTTGTTTAATAATTAATTTCGATCGATTGGCCGTGATTTGAAAAATATAATCGCGATCAAAACCACCGCAGCTTTTGCTGCGGAGATTAATCTCCATTTTCCGGTTAATCAGTTAATTGCGATCAACCGTACGGGTATGGGATGGGACAAGTAACTTTTAACATCAACTCTGTATCCATTCACGTGATATGTGATATATTTTTTTGGGAATAATTTTTTCGAGAATAGGGGAGAAAGTTTCGAGCAAAGAAAGAATAAGAATGGAGAGATTCGTATTAGAGTCACGCTTCTTTCGAAGGAATGGAAAGAAGTACAATTCCGTCGGAAATTTATTTGGCACACTAGCGACGACAGCGAATCGCGTTTTTTTACAATATCCAGAGAGGAGTTTTTATGGTCGTTATTATGCCAACTGTTACCCCTCAGACCCGTTCAAACTCTTCGTATTATCCTCCTTCCATCCTTGGAAGAATGTTAATAACGGAGCTACCTTTTTCTCCGAACAATCATTTGTTCGATTTCTCTTTCGACATATTAAACTTTCTTACTGTTACATATATATATATATATATATACGATTTTACCGATCGAGGCGAATTCTCGAATTCGAGATTGTACGGCGAAATCCTTGAACCGCTTGTAATCGAAAGCGGAAACGAGAAACCTGTTGCTCTCGATGTTTCAATCTATCTTCTTTTCCAGATATCGAGTTAAAAAGTTATCCGTAAATAAGTAATTCTCGCGTGTAATTCATTCAACTGTTTCGATTCTCCTTTGCCTCGATCACGAGAGAATTATCGAGAGTCGTCTTCTTCGATCTTTCGTGCTTCTCCTCCTTGAGATTTGAGAGGTGAGAGAGAGAGAGAAAGGTCTCGGTTAATTCAGAATTGGCATATCAATGTTACCGCAATGGTCGAGTGTACGGGTGACGTTAACTGCGCAATTAACGCTACCTCTGATAATCCATAGATATGGGTTTAATCGCGCGCATCCTCGGGATGATCAAAGACAAAGGATCCGTTTACCATGCTACGCTCGCATAGTTTCAAGCTGGCCCTGTCGTCCTGAATTCTGAACCCAGAAATATTACACTGGGATTACTTAACATATATATATATATATATCTTTCTACACGTGTACACGGTACATATATTTAATCTTCATTTTTTTACCGTCTATACGAGTACTATTTTTTTTTTCAACGATAAATTAAATTATTCATCGAATCCAATATTGGTTTGGAATTATTTGGAGAAAAATAATAATTCGCGGAATTGAAATATTTCCAAGCGGACGATATAAACGGATACTGTTTCAAAAGGGACAAATTGAATTTCTCCTCCGGCCGAAGGAGATAGAAACGGATAAAGACTCGTGTCTTTTGCGGTGGATAACAAAGTAAATTGCCCGTTTAACGAACTTGACTACCGATGTTTGCGAGATAATTTCTATTCGAACGAAATTATTATTGCTCGGTTTCCATTATTTCCAAATTCGTGGCCAAATTAGAAATTTTGTACATTATTTTATATATATAAAAAAAAAAAAAAAAAAATTGAAACAATGGAAGAAAACGAAAATATCCACTCGCCAATATACTTCTTAATTCTTTGTACGAAATATAGTTCGTACTCCTGTTGCGTAACTCTTATCTAGACGTTTGAATTGCAAATAGGTTATTGCGCACGGCGTAGGAGAGATTCGTTCGTTTAAGCATTTAAACCGCCCTCGGAATTTACCGTAACATTAGCATACGTATACGTTACGGAGAAATGGGATACTACGAGGTGATATTACGTAAAACAACAACACGCGTATATTTCTCTCTATCGATACCAATGTTACCAACCTACTTTTTTACAATTAAAAATTAGCTTCGAGAGAGAAATATTGAAAATAGAGAAATAGAGATCGGTCGTGTAAGCTCTTGGAGAGGAGCGGCGATAAAGCACGCGAATTCGTTGAACGGAAGGCTGATAAATTTGCAGCTGATCCGATAATCGATATCTCGGCGACGGCTGATCCGATTTTACTTTACGTCCGGTTGTTGAGCGTTGATTCGATGTCTTTATAAAAAAAAGGCCTAATATCTTTCCTCATCCACCACGCTATTTTTTTTTTCTTTTAATCGTTATATCGTGCAAATTGTCTTACGATCTTTATTTAATTCCAATCGTTGCTTGATTCTGAGTGCAACATCGAAAACGTTTACGTATGTTTACGTTACGCTCGAACGTTCGATCTTGGACGGAATTATTATACCCATTAACTCGGTTTTTGAGAGATGGTAATAAGAGGAAAGATCGAGATGGAGATATATGGAACAAGATGGCGGAGAGACGATTCGAGAAGCCTTTTTTCTAACGTTTATGAAAAGGTTGATCGTACACTCTTTTCTTCTTTTGGCTCGAATAGTGTATATTACCAAAATTTATTTTCAAATATATAAAATATGATTATTTTGATGTAATGTATAATAATTATACATTTTTTACAAATTTTAAATATATTTTTTATAGATTAAACAAAATACGCGCATATAGGCAGAGAACTAATCGATACTTGATCATATTTCAATAATTTAAAGTTAACTAATTGTTTCATATTAGAAACTCATGCAATGTAATGATTTGTTAATGATTTTTTATATGTTCCATATCGTAATAAGAATCGAATGTACGGAAAGTAGAAACTTTCTAATTTTTTTTTTATTCTTACAGTGTTTTTTTCATTTTATAATTTTCAGTTTTGTCGTTATTTCGTAAATTATCACTGTTTTGGCCCATATCTGGTCTACATTTCTCGGATAATTTATAAAATAGGATTGTCGAGAATATACCCTTCTTTTTATTAATAAACATCTTTCTCCTCAACGTTCGTTTCTTTAGGCTACCATTTCTAATTCTCAAGGTCCAGTTTATCGTATGTTGTGAAATTCGAAACGGTTTCCTAAGTTAATTGCCTGCCACAACTTTTTTGCTACGTCCGCCGCGTAGATATTTTGCGCGCGGTTACTTGAGAGTTCGAATCACAAATATTTATACATTCGTATATTTTTTTATATATCGATTATTATGTTATACATATTTTTAACGAAACAGTAAATTATAATAAAAAAGTAGTATCGTTTTTTAAAAATTAAGTCTGTATATAAACTAACTCAAAACCGGGAAAAAAATAATTTTGCCCAGTTTTTTCCTATTATTCCTATAACCACTATTCACGCGTTGCCGGGTTGAAATTTGTCTAAAGCATATGTTTCAGTTGGTGGACGACGATGGAAGCATCGAGACCGCTCTGATCAATTACCTGTTCACGAAACAAATCGTGAAACGGCTTCGAAATCAGCTGGACATCGGTGACCTTCAGCGCAAACGAAGTTATTGGAAACAGTGCGCCTTCAACGCTGTCTCCTGCTTTGGCAATAGAACGTCGAGTTGTTCCTCGATCATCTCTCTCTCTCTCTCTCTCTCTCTCCCCCTCTCTTTCCTCTGTCTCTCCCTTTGTCCAGTGGCTAAGCTTTTAAATAGACGACGAGTGCAGCTCGACGGCACAAGTCCAAATTGCCAGTGTTGTCAAGTTTGCATCCGCGAGTTTATAAACCTTTAGTAATTCTTTGATCGTATTTCAAAATGTACGTGTTCTTTTGGAGAATCGTTTTCGATTTGAAAATGTCGCGGATGTAAATTTAGCAATGATCCATTTCCCCGCAATACGCTGTATTATATTGACGTCGATATTAAGAAAAGGAAATAGTAGATTGTAGTACGATGTATCGTAATTAAGCCTCCGTTAAGATTATAGAGTTTTCTTTTCTCGATTCTCGAGTGAGACTGCAAAGCACAATAATTGCATCTTCTTGCTAATTATACTTTACTTATATTTTAATTAACGAAGGACGTTGTTCAATAAAGAATCCGTTTTTTCCGTTCTGTATGCGATCGATCTCTTTATTTTCCGAATATATTTTGCTACGAATATCCAGTAGCGAAATAAATATAAAATGTACAATTTACAATTTTCTACATTTTCCTTCGTTAAAGCAGTCGAGTTTCGAAGGACTCGATTTCAAGGACAACATGTTGGGATGCAAGGAAAAGGTAAGTACAAGATTCTCCTCGAATATTTCTTCCCAATGAACTTTCTACATTATTCTATTTCGTGTAAAGATGGTCATCGGTGAGAACAGGGGCAGGAACAATAATTCTCGACCAATTCCACCGCGTGCTCTTCCGTCCCTTGAATTTCCAAAGTAGAGGCGACCGCCTCTACCCAAGAGACGCTCACGTGCCTCACCGTCTTTGGAACATCCTCGAACTCCTGTGGAACGAAGCAGAGAATCGAAGTGAATGTCATGCCGCGGGGATTAACGTTCCTGTTTGCGTTTTACGGATGAGGGGTAATGATATTCCATAGGCGATGGAAGATTATCAAGGAGCGAACTACGCGAGCAATTGGCGCCTACGGTTAACGGAGTTGACAACTTCCACGAGTCGGAAGTCGCTTAATGCCAATGCTAGCGTGCTGTAACGATGCCGGTGTTAACCAAGTTTAACTCCGTTATCGAGGATCCGCTCGTTCTATCCATTAAAAACGCATCCATTAACTACGCGATCGTGAACTTTTTTACCTTTTTTTACCTAACCTATCCAAACCGAGATAAAACGCGTTATTTTCAAGGATTCCGAGTTTCCGTTATCGATCGATATCGTCCTATTCTTTTTTTCCCCGTTTTAAACAATCTCTACGAGCGATGAATCGCGCATTCCTTCTACCAGAAAATTTTAAAAATTACGTATGTATCGAAGCTACAATTTCTCGAAATGATGTTCAAATTAATCGATTTCGACGAAACGAATTCTTTTCTCTTTAGAAGAATATAAAGTTTTTTTTCGTAAAAATAGGTAATACGTACGTGAACAGCGGACGATAGGATTTCCTTGCAAGGATGAATCATATACGTGGCCGTAGTAGACTTATCTTCGTCGTTCAACACCTTGGCCCCAAGACTGATATCGATTAAGGAGAATCGATATGTAACGCGATCGCGTTCGAAGCGGTGGAATTGAGAAGCTCGCATATATGACGATTCGTACGTTCCCCTTTCTCGCGGCACGGTCGTTAAGCAACTCGTCTACTTTAAATCCGCCTCGAGGGAACGTGGTAAGACACGAAAGAAAACCTCGTGTTCCATTTTTCTGTCATGCTACTCTCGCCAACTATTCTTCTCCCCGAGGTGTTACGTACGAGGTTTACGTAAGTACATGTTTTCCACTGGAAAACGCGACCCATTCCATCAGATTCTATACATATATCCATCCCAAAGTAATTAAGAAACGTCCCTTAAGTCGTGATAGCCGTGTCGATTGGACGCGACGACCAATCGAGTTTGAAACTGCGAGCGAGTTTGAGTTTGTTTTCAAAGACGGAAACGATAATTATTCAAGGAGCTCCTACCTCTTCGATAAGGAATAAAAGGATACGTCTTGAGCATGTTGCGAACGTAATCTTGTTGTTTGCTTTTCTTAAAACTTGGCGCTAAACTGATCGGTGCACCCTTTAAAATGCTCTTAGATTTCTATAAAGAAAAAGAAAATAAAAAGAACGAAACGATAACGTTGTCACGTTTCGATTTTAGAGGTTAATTTTTTTTTTTTTGTTACATTATATACGTCAGAGTTAGGTATTAATCGGTTGAAAAAGTAATTAGTTAAAAATTTCGAATAAAGTTACTCTAAGTAATTATTTATTAAAATGCCTTAATAATATTTATTCGTAGCTATTATAGTCGTCGATTCATTCCTCATATTATCTCAATTATTTGCAATTATGTTTTGAACAATAAATTATGTTTTGTATATTATGTTTTGAACAATAAATTATCGAAATAACTTTATTCGTAATTTGAACTATTAAATTTTCCCCATTATTGACATGCGTTTATTACCAATTCGTTGTTCGTTAAATTATGCAACGATTTTGCATCCGACGGAAGACCATCCTTGGGTTTTCGTCCTTCGATCCAATTTAACGGGACTCCTGCAGCGGAATACTCGATGAACTATAAGATATAGGATATAAGGTTAAACGGATAAGATGGTACATTTCATTAAAACATGTAGCGATAAAAACGTACATCCCTATTTACAAAAGCATAATACGCTGCCTCCGTATCCCGTTCGTTGAAAACATTTTTTTCTGCACCATCGTGCCTTCTTTGATCCTTATTTTTTCCGTTAGATCTAGATCGAGGAGAACTGACTGCTGGCTTTGCGGGAGATTTCTTTGGAGAAGGTGTTTTAATCGTTTTTGAATCCTTATTTTTCCTTGTTGGAGACTTTGATCTTTCATCTTCGCGTTTCGCTTTTGTGCTCAAAAAAGATGAATCTTCTTCTCTCGTTTTCCTTTTATCAATTTCTTTCTTAGAAGTTGAAGGCAAAAGAAGGGTAAGATCTATCGACTCGGAATTCTTTTTGAAAAGATTTCGCAATTCGTTCAAAGTGATGGCAGAAGACCAATCTTTATCTGGACGAATGCGCGTTACACGTGGAAATCTGATACTAATACCGTCAGCTGTGTGAACACCCTGATTAGTGAACTCTGCTCCCGTTATTTCCCACACCGGTTGTTTCTGCAAATCATAAACGTTTCGTTTGAGCTGCTTTCAGCCGAGAATCGAACCAAGTTAAACCTAGATAATACCTTCGGATCCTTTGCAACAAAATCGGGAATCATTGGTTTGTTAGCGCGTAGCCAACGTGGTACTTTAGTTGGATCCTTGCTTATTTTTATCATATCGAGCTCATCCTGAAGGCTTGCCAAGGTTGCATCGTCGTGACCAGTGTGTACCTGCATCCAATCGAATTTTAAATTTCGTTGGTGTTAAGGATACCATATTCAATTTACTTACTTTGGTCACCGTTACCCAGTTGCCACGATCTTCGTCGTAGCAACCCATGAGGAATATAGACATCATACCTCCTAAAGATCATGAGAAAGGAATCAAATGTAAAAAAAAAATATGCATACAAAGTAATTCGATCGAACAACGAACCTTTGTTCCCTGTACCGTACCATGCGCCAAGCACGACGAGATCTGCACTATCGGCCATTGCACCGTCGTATAAATAATCCTTCTTTACCTTCAACCAGTGCCTCTTACCCGGCTCATATTTGCTCTACGAATAAAAACGACGCATCTTTAGAATTCGGGCACAGCATACGGAATAAATTGATCATCTTATAAATAATATGCGATAAGTACGTGAATATCTTTGAGAACCAGGCCTTCAAGACCCATTTTAAGAATCCTGGCGATCATTTCTGCTAAATCTTGGGAATTCTGAAATTATTATCGCTTACAATTTTCTACTTTTACGATATCGATAGAAATTGAATCTTAAATTATTTACATGGACTTCCTTCGTTTCCGACAGCATTATTCTGTTTGGTATCTCTGTCATTCTCTTCGTTAATATTCGTCTTCGTTCCATCATAGATCTGCGCAAAATGATTTATTTAGGTGCTAGATAAGATACAAGCGAGAGAGAAATTGGAAAACTCACTTGTGCAGCAAAACATCTCCGTTGTAATAAATGCAATCGAAAACGAACAAACAGGCATTTGCATCTTTGAATTCAGCTTTCTAAAAAACGAAACCGAATAGTAATAATTTTGAAGGATTAAAGAGTTTCAACGAAGAAGATATTCGAACCTTATGAATGCCTAAGGTACCAAAGGGCAACGGTTGTCCAGTATTGGTGTCAATCATGAGGATCTCGGAGTCCAAAATCAGATCATCGCCATCTGGAAAAGCTTGTGGAATATAATTCTTGAAAAGATTCACCTGGAACGATAAGAGAGCGTGTAAAACTAACGTGTTGGGGAAATAGGAATCGGAACGAAACAGATTTATTACTTTATGAGGAAGCACTGGTTTCAAGGATCTGCTGAAGTATCGAAATTCGTTTCCTTTCTTATGCACTTGAACGCGTTCTCCATCATACTTCACTTCGGCCAGCATTCCATTTGGACATTTTTTCATCGCCATTTCCACGGACTTGCAAGCTTCTGCCTATTCCATTTTTAATAAACTTTTACAAACGATTTACAACGATTTAAACGAAGAAGATACAAAAGCTTTACCAGCATAGGTAAGACAGGTGTCATCAGCGAAAGTGTAACTTTAACATCGGAAGAATTCGATTCTTGTTCTTTGATTTCGACGATCGTTGCAAACACCTTTCGATAACGCTATTCAAATCCCTGGATGTTTGGAAAGCCTCATAAGCGTCTTCGTGCACCGCGGCCAAACTACGAGAAGACGGAATATAGACGAAAAATATTTGATCTAGTTTAATCGTCTAGCTTGCTATTTATACTCACATATGTTTCGGACCAGCATTTATTCTTAAATCATGCTTGATCAGTCGAATTATCATTTTTAAATCGTCCAGAGTGCATCTGAAAAAACGAGCAACAATTTGTTTTCGAAGAAACGACGAAATAGAAGAAAAAATAATTTACTTGGAAATGATGGAACAAAAGTGGCGAACTTGCTCCTCCTCTTTGGTTAAAAGCGACAACTCTTGTAAAAATTCATCCACCTATGAATGACGAAAAACAAATTAACGATTACCTAACCTAACTTCTTTGCTTATCTTAGCTTAAATATCGAGAAGTCTGGATTATATATTAGATATTCGTATCCACATATTATAGATATTTGAAATTCGAGTCGATAGAGGATTTCGTTTGGCAATTCAGTTTGGGTTCCGAAAAAAATGGAAAAAAAAATTCAGTCAGTGTGTTTCTTTTCTATTTTCGAGGAATACGGAACATTAATACGTTAACATAAATCTCTCCTGATGTGGATCAATGCAAATCTTCAACTGAGAAATCTGGGTTACCTGTTGAATGGTAAATACGCTGTTTTCAGCTGGTTTTCGAGCGACGCTTTTCTCGAAAAAGGATCGGATGGTTTCAGCTACGTCTCCTCGCTCGAGATGTTCCAGCATCTCGTTCTCGTCCTCGAGCAGTATACGAGAAAACAGCTTGACCAATTGTTTGCTTTGTAAGTTGTACACCCTTTTCACTGCCCCGGGAAGCAACATTCTGCACCACAGCTTCACGTCGCTTTTAAAACCGTCTGAAAACCGTCATCGGTTTAAAAACATCGATTAAGAATATCTCTAAGTAAACAACACTTTCTTTCGAGAAATTTTCATTCTCAAATCTGAAAAAAATTAATTTCTAGATGCGTGATTTATTATTTAGGATTCCAATGTATTATCAAGCCTACGCGACAATCGGCGAAAACAAATAAAGTGTTGTTCGGTTGGAGTTAAAGAAACGCCGTGGGTCATCTGCTTAAACGGTAAGATAGGAAAGGGACAAGTAAACGGTAAAAAGAGAAAATGGAATCGAGTTGGACGTCGTCCGAAAGAATAATCCACGATCAGACGGGCGGTTATCGTGGCCGCAGTTATCGTCGCCACTCGTAATTTTCCATTCTGTTGTTGCATCTCGATGCGTTTTCGTTCGTTTCTTTCGACGCGAAAGCGAAAAGGGGGAGGTGCGAATGCGTCCCGAACTAAAACCTAACCTCCAAATCTTGCGAAGGATGCGATCGAAGAAAGGATCGAGATGCGTAGCGATTTCGAATTAAGAGCACAAGATCGAAGGTTGCGATGGAAATTTTCGTGGAAATTAAGCGTCGACCTCCTTTGCATCCAAGGAGCTACTACATCATCATTGCAAAACAGTTGCAATCGTTATCGCAGCATCTGTAATATTTACTCGTAATGAACGATACCTTTTCTTTTTTATTTTCTTTTAATGTTCTTTCAACTTCTTTCTCCTCTTCCAATGTGTTCCGTGAAAAATAAATTCTGTATCTATCTCTTGATCGTGTTCGCTTATTTTTCTCATTCATCTCATCACGGATTACGCGCGATATCGAAATACGTGAATTACGAAAGATATATCGCGTGTATGAAGAAAAAAAAACACATATACACAAAAAATTGACGTTTTAACCCCGTTATAGGGTCAAACGAGGCGGAGCGGAAATGAAAATTTCGTTTATCTTTCTGTTAGATTCTCGTAGGAGGAGATTGAGGTTCAGAGAGAGAATCTGAAATTGCAACCGAAATTGTTTCGCTCGTGCGAGTTTCGTAACACGCGTGTATCCAGTTCTATCGCAGAAAATTAATTAAAGATCCGATGCCCCGGAGTCCCTGACCCCATTATCATCCGAATAAAATACCCTATAAAAATACGAAATTATCGCGGTGTTTACGTTGCGTGTGCGCGATACCCGATGCACCACCTTGTCTCGAGATCGATTGTTTCTCGATACATTCTCGATCCGCTCTAACGAGATTGGTCGATTACGGTAGATACCTCTTTCACTCATCGATCGATTCATCGAACGTATACGAAATTCTTAACGAGCTCTCGAATACCAGAGTTGGGTATTAGTCCGTTAAAAAAGTGACTAGAAATAAAGTTATTCTAATTACTTATTAAAACGCTCGAATAATATTTATTCGTTATTATTCGTAGTTATTATTCGTAGTCGATCCGCTTTTCGTATAACCTCGACCGTTCGACACTACAGTTATTCGCGATTATTATTACGTTTTGAACAATAAATTATCGAACTGACTTATCGAAGTAACTTTATTCGTAACCTCACTATTAAATTTTTCCCATCACTGTCGACCATATTGTTCACTGGTGTAAAGAAGTCTCGCAGAAGGACAGCATAGAGGCAAGAGGGATATCCTTCGCCAGAACCATCTTCCCCCACTTTGGACGCTTTGTTGACAAACCTGACACCGCACGCTATATAATAATAGGAAAAGGTTATTATTCGAATATTCAAAATCTTAAAAATTATTTTCATTTATGAAGTTACGTAAGAATAATCGAAACTATTAATTATTTCGACGCATATCGATATCTATTCGTACAATTATTATCTTAACTACTCGAATACAAAATTACATTTATAAATTAAACTATCGTTACAAATCGTAATCAGTCTACGCATATTGAGAAATAAAAATGAGAAATAAGAAGAGAAATAGAATTCTTTGGATACTTGGATGCCTAATGCAAATTTAAATACAGATCATCGAAATGTACGTGAAAATAAACGTTTCCTTCCGAAGACTTCTTTCCATCGGTGAACAATAAATAGCTCTCTCGAACCAGAGAAATGGAAAATCACCGCGATTTGGTTGTAAAAGTTGTAAAATAATCGGGATACGGGAGGGAAATACAGGGTGAAGAAATAAAGAGAGTGGGTGTTATCGATCGAACGGGGAATTTAACCGATAAATTCGACGGTTGCACATCCATTGTACGATAAATTATATCCGTGTCACGGAGCATACCTTCTTTTTATAATAATTCTTTCGAGATGGAGGGGGAGGGGGGGAAGAAAGACAGAAGAAAAACATAGGATAACTTCGACGCACATTTTCGATTCGATTCGGAACATCGATAAAACGAAGTATTAGTATATATATATAGTCTCTCCTAACAGTTATGAATCATTACCTACGCAGTAAGATTACGCAACGCGGAAATCGCAACGAAGAAACGATATGTATCGATTCTCGTAATCGAAAAAATATGGAAGGGGAGGGGGGAGAGGAAAAAAAAAGAAAATTTGCAGGAATTCTATTAGAAGGGTTACGAAACACACCAACTATATAGTTGCTTATAATGCAAATATCTTTTGCACGCATTTAACGAGGCGCATCTCGTAATTCCTTGTTCCAAGTGAGAAAACAAACGGTGGTATTATTAATTCCGGGAATCGTGCGTACGATCTAACACATATATATGATCGATTTATATCGTTTCACGCTTTTGCTCGGGCGTTGCATCAGGCTCAAGGATCGAATTTATTTTTCACGTCAAAGAAGACGAAGTTAACGCTCGGATCTGTCCAACGAGAGAGAGAGAAAGGGAAAAAATTGAAGAAAATCGAGAAAAAACGTTATCGAGGGAGACAGTGGCGAAAAATTTCACGCGCGAATTGCGTTCGATAAGAGATTAAGGATAAGTCGGGCACGTTTCCCGTAGTGTGTCGCAAGATCGAGCTCGATCGATAACTCGTAGGGAGACGATTATTGTTTGACCTTTCGCACGCGCGTCCCTCCGAAAACCGCGATCTCGTAAAGGAAGAGGAGAAGGGAATAGAGAAGAGAGATAACGAGGTCGATATAATACGACGAAATAGACGAAAAAATTACGCGATTCGACCGACGGTCGGTCGAATTTTTTTTCTTCTTCTTCTTCTTCTTCTTCTTCTCCTCGTTTCGAAGCAATCGTGCGATTACGATTATTGCGGGTCCCAAACGAACGAAGAAGAGGCAAATAAAAGCTCGGTCGCAGCAAAAGCGGAGGTGACTTCATACGTTTAGATTAAAGAGGAGCGCGGTAATTAATGATCGATTGGCCGAAGGAAACGCGAGAGAACGATAGAGAGAGGTCACCACCAAGATACCACCAATCGTACAAAGTGTAGTTCCGCGGACGAATGATAATGCAGCTTCGCTTCAATGAGATTTTCCACGGGTTACGCGAAAGAAGGCTTTATATATATATATATATATATATCCTTGTTTTCTCTTCATCCCCCCTCTAATTCTGAGGAGAGTACAGGAGAGCTTATTAATCTTACATTATTCTTTCTTTTTTTTTTAATTCGTTCTGGTTTCTCAACAAACAATTTTCTGCTCGTTTACCTTTCGCGCATGATTATCGTGGGCATTAACCCGTTGAAAAAGTTAACTAGTTAAAAATAAAATTTACTTTAAAATGCTCGAATAATTCGAGTAATTGTTGATTGTTATTTGCGATTATTATTATTACGTAATTTTATTCGTAACCTCAACTGTTAAATTTTTACTGATCGTGGGTTAGGTCGCGGTGAAAAAGCTGGATGGACCATCGAGTCGAGTCGAAATAATATGAATCGCGCGAAAATCGAATTAACGGGCAAGTTTCTAGGAAAATGTTCCAATTTCCAACAATTGGGTCTCTTCCTCTTCCGAGAAATTACAAACTGTGCGTGCGAATGCACAGGATGGATAGAACCCGGTGGCACGTGGCGGAGCGCAACGATGCCCCGATTCGAACACCGAAACGGGCTGCTGTTTCTGCTGCTCGATGGAATTCCGTTCCTATTCTCCTCATCATCGTCGAAAATAGAGCTACCGCGCCATTTAGACGCGCAAATCGCTTGGTACAATGCCGGTATTCTTCCTTTCCCGATGCCCGATATTTCCACTTGGCCAAAACGAATCGATCCGCGGATTCTTGATAGAGATACCGAATTAGAACCTGTTGCGTCTATTTATATACCCGATATCGAGGAATTTGTTTCGCGTAATAAGTGTTTCGTCGATACGCGGTTCGAGTAACGTATATTACGACAAAAATTCACTTTTAAATACGAAATATAGGCAGAGAACCAATCGATAATTGATCACATTTTAATAATCGAGAGAATATTCTGTACATTTTCTAAGAATTAAATTTAAAGTTAACTAATCGATTCATATTATAGAAATTCACACAATGATAACGATTTGTCAATGATTTTTTTATATCGTTCCACGTAATTTTCTACTTTTTTTTATTAAATTAAAATTAATTTATTCATAAAATTAAATTATCGTTATTTCGTTTAAATTATCACTGTTTAATAGGCCCAGCCTATCGGATAATTTGTAGAATAGGATTGTCGAGGATATCCCCTATAGCCACAACTTCTCATTTTTAATAAATATTTTTCTCCTCAACATCCGTTTCTTTAGACCACCATTTCCAATTCTCAAGGTCCAGTTTATCGTACGTTTGTGAAATTCGAAACGCTTTCCTAAGTTAATTGCCTGCCACAACTTTTTTGCTAGTCCGTCCGTCGCCTAGATATTTTGCGCGCTTACTTAAGAGTTCGAATGTACAAATATTTGTACATACGTATATTTTTTTATATATCGGTTATTATGTTATATATATTTTCAACGATAAACAATAAATTATAAGAAAAAAACAGTATCGTTTTCTAAAAATTAAATATCCATATAAGTTCAAAATCGAGAAAAAATTTTATTATTATTATTATTCGAACCACTATTCGTTGTATCGAGTTTGGCAACACTGCGCAATACTGCAATTTTTTTAAACGCGTTTCTTTCTTTCTTTCTTTCTTTTCTATTCTTATTCTATACTTTACTCTGTCGCTGCTTAGAAACGATTACTTGAAAGAACGAATACTTAAGCGCGATCCAAGGATCCAACCTTGAAAAAATTTCTCTCCCGAACAATGATAACAACAATGAGACGATCTCTCGTCTCGTGTTAATTTATTATTATATCGAATGGAGAAGAGATAAGCGCCGCGTTCGCGTTAAATATCCTTGCTCTCCACGGGATTTTACTCGAATGGAACAACTCGCGATGTATTTACGTCCATTGAAAAGAAGGAATCGTGTTACTAGATCGTCGGCCGCGGGGAAAGCGAG